GGGACTGAAACGTGGGACTTAGGTACTCTAGATGTCATGACACATCGAGAAAATATGAAAGTAGCCAGTCGTCCGAGGAGCTCGCTTACAATATTTCCCTAGCTTACACTCGGTAAGTAAAAATGTTTGGTTTTAATAGGAACGTTTGCCTCCGGTGTATTTTGGAAAGACTAATTTAAAATTTAACAATTTATGAGTGTGTCTTCCATTTGAATTTTAATTGCCTTCAACCCTAACAAATTTAGTGACCATTACCGAACATGAATTTTGTAATTATGTATTAAATGTTTTCAAATATGTGTTATCTATCTATTTGTGTTTATTTTTACGTTTAACAACGCAGAAAATTAGAATTAATTATTTATTGTTATTATTTATTCATTGTACAATCACATATTCGGCTGCCAGAAACTTCGGAGCACAGACTAGATAAAATAAAATTTACTTGGCCAGAATCCGAAAGCTGGGATCGGCAGTAGGCAACATTGTAAATTATCCTAATGAGTATACGACACTACTGATAGCTTGTCAAACGGATTTTACGGTTACTTTTGCTGGGGACTCCTCTTAAAGGTAACTTATTTCTTTATTATTTACAATTAATGAAACAAAACGTTTGCTCCATCGTGGCAGTGACTTTTGAGAATTACCATCTCTCAATTGACCGACGGTCGAGAAACCCTGGAATCTGTCAATGTTTTGGCTTAGGCGAACGGAGTTCTGAAATACACTGGAATCATCTATTTACTGAAACTCTCACATTTTAAATACCAAAATTTTCTGTAATGTAACCTTCAGTACTATCCATCTTTAAGTACAATCCTGAAGGGTAATAAATCTGAGGTCCACTAAAGATGGTATTTTAAGTGCCATAAACCCTAATTCTCTATTCACTGAATTTTACAATAAACTCTTGTAGGAGCAACGCATTTTACCTGCATACCGAGGCCACCCGGGTCACCCGCTGTTTGTTTGTCCCGATTTTTGAAAAAAAAAATCAAAATTAGGAAACAACATTTTGACATTTAATTTAAAATCTGCAAAACCGAATGTTTTGAAATATGCAGTTATGATAAGCATGATAAGTTTTTATTCAAAATATATTTATATTTATACTTGTCCCCTCCAAAAAATTGATGACGTCACCTGAGAAGTTTGCCATATAAATCCTACCTAAAATGTAAAAAATATTATGAGTCTGTACTTGTAATTTATCATTCCATTAAGATTTTTTGGGTTTGCATATACAGGGTGACTCAAAAAAATTAATGAATGCGTGAATATATTTTATTTATTTAATAAGGAACTACAAAACCGAATACTTTGAAATTTTGGAGATATTTTACAGTTGTCATAGGCATGGTAAATTTTTAGTCAAAATATATTTGCTCATCCTCCCGTAAAAAATTGATCACGCCCCCCCCAAAATTTTTCCGAAAAAATGCTATCTTAAATGTGCATTGTGCAAAGTATGATGAGTCTATAAATGTGATTTATCACTCCATAAATATTTTTTAGATTTGCTTATACGGGGTGTGTGAAAAAAATTAATGACTGAGTCAAGTTATTTTATTGATTAAATCAAGAATTGCAAAACTGAATTCTTTGAAATCCTGACGTTTTGAAGTTATCGTAAGCATGGTAACTTTTTAATGAAAATGTATCTGTTTATCAACCCCAAAAAATTGATTACGGCATCTCAAAATTTTGCCAAATAAATTCTTTCGCAAGTCTGCAAAATATGAACAGATTTTTAGTCATTGCATTCATATTTTTTAAATTTGCTTAAACAGGTGACTCAAAAAATTAATGAATCAGTCAATTTATTATTGATCAAATTAAGAACGAGCCACCCCATTTTCTGGAAAATGTGAGAATACGCTCGCCTTTATAACAACAAAATAATGATAAGGTAAGAATTATACTAATAACATTCGGAATATTTTGTTCAATGGAGGCTTATGAATAATTTTAGTCATTTCTTTTGGGGCGATAAACTCATTCAAATGAAACAAATGTCTAAGTGACATTCTTCCGATGTAATGTATTCCCGTTGATAATGTGCCGTAAATAAATTTGTTGCACTCATAACCTTCTTTGATGACCTTGGCGCATTCAACAGCATGCGAGACGTCGAACATCACACTCAGATGCGTTTTGCTATGACGTCGTTGTTTGTAAATAAAGCTGGGCGGTCGAAATTTATTCATCCTATCTACCCGTCTGAAGTGCGGTCAGTGCATCCTTGCCTTACTCGTTTCTCGCTTTCTAATTGTGTCGAAGCAATAAAAGAGTCTGGGCGACCATCGGTATTGTTTGCAGTTTCTCTGTTTGATTCTAAAGCCGGGTCCACACTTGCTATATAACACAGCTATATAGCAAAGTTATATAACATGTTACTAAAATTTAGGCGAATTGTAGCAAATTTTCTTGCTATATAACTTGCTAGATGTTATCCATCTGGAGTCGGTAAATCCCGAAAAGATCAAAGAAAGTTATATCGCACTGCTATTTCAAACGCGTCCAGACTTGTTATATTTTATGTCAACAACCGGTCACTGGCGTGCAGAGTTTCTTCCAGAGAGGTTCATAATAATAAAAGGGTTTTCATTGTATATTTTGAATAAATACATCAAGCTTTGGTAAGAATCTCCAGTTGCTAAAAAGCGTAAAGATACTGCCAGACGTTCATTAATGGGTATTGCATCTCTCAATGTCGTGTCAGTCTTGCAAATTTTGGGGCCAATTAATCTTAGCAAGTGGTCGAAATCCACTCTGGATAATCTACAGAAGTTTTTGAAGCTTCCCCTGTACGTCATTCCGTAATCAATAGAACCGACATCGTCTCGTTTCAAATCTTCCAATAAATGTGTCCCATTATACTGACTTGTTGACCGCAGTGTGGGTCTAACCCAAAACCGTCTTTTCTTCGGTTTTTTCTTACTCTTGGTAAACAAAATTACGCACGCCGCTGCTGCAAGGAGTTGGTTTTCTGCATCCATCTCTTCACTGAACGGGTGTGGACGCGACTATGTTTTAAACAAAGTTTCATAGCAGAGTTATATAGCAAGTGTGGACCCGGCTTCACGTGTACAATCTCATGTCTTAAATTAAGAATGCTTATATACATAAATGATTTTGAGTCGCCTCTGCTAATACACACGGCATACTTGAGTAAACTCTTTCGTTATTTTATTGAGTATAAATCAATATTCAAGACGACCCAATTCATTTTCCCGAAAATTTGAGAATACAGTACTTTTATTTTTAGTATTACACTACATGTATCCAAACTGATACACGTGTCCTTGCAAAAAATGTTGATGACGTCATCGTATTTTTTTTTAAATTGCCCCGCCACAAAAATGTAATGAGAAAAAAAACATAATAGGCATGCAGTCGTCATGTTTCCGACAGTGACGGAAGTACTCTTTAAACTCTTTCGACCAATTTTTTCAAATAGCACAAATTAATTTTGTAAGTAAATGTGATGAATACTGCTGTAAAATATTTATTTTTTCAACATAACACAACAATCCTTTCTTCTGTACCTTTAGAGCGGGTGTTTAGCAGCGAAAATCAAATTCTTATTCCAAGAAAAAATAATTTAGGCGGCAACATATGTGAAATATTAATTTTAATCTGTATCTAGATAATTTTAAAAGTATCTGTCTGACTGTATACACGTTTTCCAGTGGTTTCAAAGTTATCAGGGGAGAATCTGCGTTGTATAATAACAATGCAGTGCAATTTAAACAGTCAATCGTTTCAAAAAAGACCACAAAATAATCTTAGATTTTGAAACTCAATTGTTATAGTAACTGCAACATTCTGTTAATTTGGCACATACATCTAAAGAAAATACTGTGAAGTTTTAGGAAAAATGAGAACTAAGAGAACTAAGTAATAAAAAGTGTTTGATGTTAAAAATGACGGCTTTAAATTATTGTAAAAAGTTTTGATTATAGATTTTCAGAATAGGTATGTATTAATGTTCATTTAAAAAGTTCTGTAATCAGAGTTTTGACTAGAGATTTTCACAATATGTATTAATGTTCATTTAAAAGCTTATGTAATCCGTACTTTAAAATACCTACAGACGATGGATAAGGACAGTGAATAAAGTTTTACAACTAGATCTATAAATGACAGTATTTTCAAAGCGGAAAGTATATTGTCGTATATTATTCTGTGGACGATTGTTTTCTGTCAATATTGACGGCATATTTTACAGAAAAAATATATCTAGTTCTTCCTACATAATTTGTGCATATTTCGAGTACATTGTATATATTTGATCATACATATAAGCATGCTTAGTGATAAACTTATAAACAAGAATGGGTTCTACACTATATTTTGATATTCCTTATTCAAAATTTCATCATTTGGACAAAAAAGTATAATACTGGCTCGTCCTGCATATTTTATGAAATCTACTCCAATTATAGTTTTGTCCATAATTCTGAACCTTATTAGATTAACTATACGCAAAGTCTATTTTACACGTTTTCCGTTATTTCAGTCAAAGTTGAAAAACCTTTATGCGAAGCGCATTTTTGGAATCTCGACTTCGTCTCGGTTCGCCCGTTCTGCATTCATAATCGCAAAAGTGAGATTTCTGAACACTTGAACGCAAAAAAATATTATTATTGTGCCAGTTAACACAAAAGCATAAGGTCATGCGCAGTCACGTCATTATCAGTTCATCAGAGAAAAGAAAAAACGTGTTTCATATCTAAACAAATTCTAAATATACAACAAGTTTGATAATTTTATTTAATTTTGACCATGAAAGCTATTAATAACACACTACGATAAAAGATAGCAGCACACCAATAACGCGAGTTAAGCGCGACTCTTTAATTAAATCCCTTTTCCCAACTTCAATCAAATTCAATCCCAATCGCCGCACAATCTCACGATCATCTCCTCGTTCCCCACCCTCCTCATCGCAATCCCTCGCCTTTATCGCATTGGCCGGACTACAAAGGTAAGACAGTGGCTCGTAGTGGGGAGCGACCGGTCCACTGCAACTGTTAACTACTTGAAATCGGAAGGAAAACAAAATCGCTCTTCAGTCTTGTTTTGCGCGTCTCGCAGGCAGTAGTTACGGTAATCCTCAACCTTCAATGACATGCCGCCACTCTTCCTCCTCCTTCTCGTGGCCGTCGCCGAAGCCGCCAGAAACGTGACCGTTTCCAAGTGCTGCCCCTTCTCACACACCCTCACCAACGAAAATAAGTGTGTCCCTGTGACCGCTCCCGAGTGGAACCTGCGGGTGTACAGCCCCACCTCCCGCAAGTACCTTCCCTTGAACCAGGTCCCTCCGAACTGGCACCTCCAGGAGGCCGTCAAACCGCCGTGCTCGATTCCGGGGCTACTCACCACGTCCACGTTGGGGAGTTACGTGCCCTTCCAGAACGGCTCCCTCTTCGTGGTGCACAACAGCAAGCTCGTGCATCCTCCGGACTACTGCATCGATTATAACGCCGTGCTGTATTGTCTCCAGGAAGAGCAGGAGGCGGAGAACATCACGTTCGTCCAGGTGAAGAAGTGTTGTGGAGAGAACGCGATTTTTTCCGACACGAATAAGACCTGCATCCATATGAAAAATGGGGGTTATAAAGTGGATGTGGGGAGCGAAAAAAGGTTGGTTGAGGGATTCCCGAACTGCCACCAGCAGGAGCTGGTGTTTGTGGGGAAGCTGAAGGAGGCGGACATGCTGCGTAATGGCAGTTTGGTCCTGCAGGAGTCGAAGGTGGTGGTGCCGCCTGGGAATTATTGTTTGGAGCACGTGCTGGAGGATGCGGGTGAGTGCTTGTTGAAACCTGTTGATGATGTGGGGTTTTTGTAGATTTAGACGTTTTGACTTCATGCGTGAAACCAATCATAAGAATATTGTTTTTTTTTTTATACCACCATAGGTGGAGGGGACTGTAAGGCGTACACATTTTTTCTCCTATAAAAGGGACGATTTGTGCAATAATAATTTTCTGAGATGACATTGACAAAGAAATTGGATGGGATAATTAACACAATAAATTATACTTTTTTTTTGACACAAAGAAAGAGTTCTAAAAACATTTTACATATTTGTTGATAGAGATGCATAAATCAGTTTCAGTTAATCTTCTTTAATGTGTAAATCAATATTTGTCATTCATCAAATTTTTTAAAGAGTTTGTTATTCAATCTCTGAGATAAAATACTCCAACATTTGACGGTTCAAATCCACTGTTTTAACTCAACCCGATCACACAAAATTTAAAAAAATTGGCCGAAGTTTTTTCGAGAGAACTTCCCTCGCCCCTGAAATACAATAAAACAAATCCAGCTTTTTCGAAAAATTATAAAATTGATTTTGCAAATTTTATTTATTTTTTATGAGAACCCTTATAGGTTAAAATAAAGATATTAATGTAATGTTAAAGTAAATGTAAAGAAGCCTGCTGCGCGTATGTTTCAAATGAGTTTTCCCTTAACAAAATTTTGTGATGACATCAACAAGTTCCTGGAGGATAAACGTATATGTATTTTGATTGAAAATTTACAATGCTTACGATAAATTTAAAACATATATTGACTCATTCACTATTTTTTTGAGTCATCCTGTATAAGTAATTCTAAAAACTATTAGTGCGTTGATAAACCACAAGCATAATATTTTGCACATTTCAGAGAGGATTTATTTGGAAAAATTTTGAGATTACGTCCTAAAAACTTTGGGAGGGGTAAACCAATAAATTTTAATTAACTATTTACCATAACTGCGATAACCTTAAAGTGTTTGCAAGATTTTAGAGCATTCAGTTTTGCAGTTTCATTGTTAAATTGTAAAATGTTGTCATATAATTTTGGCTTTTTTTTTTTTTAAAGTCTGGATGTCTAGGGCGACACGGATTTATAAACCACAAGTGTAGGAGTATGTTATTTTATAAAATAAAAAAATACTATTTTAAATTTTGGAGATTTCTTGATTGACAAAATTTTGGTTAGGGTTTTACCATCTACGTGATATTCTTAATATAAATATAAAATTTGACAACATTTGGTCCAGAAGTTTCGAGATTATCTGTCTAATAAAAATCCGGGCAACGAAGACAGACGGAAACGGGGGACCTATTTCTTCGTATCCTAAGGGTTATGAAAGATAAAAGTATTCGGGATGGACTCGATTACAATACTTCGTTAGCTTATGCTGGGGAAGTAAAAATAAGGGTGATTATTAAAGCAAATGTAACATGCTACAATAATAATTAGAGGCAAATTATCGTTTTATTGTATTGCTAATATTTTTAAAATTTCAGAAAATCTGGTTCGAAGTTTATTTGTGTAAAAAAATGAAAATAGAAACCTGCATTTTCATATTCTATTAGATGTTACCCCACTACTGTTGTTTATAAAAGTAGAATGTTATGTTTTAGAAGTTCCTTGAATTTTGTCCTTAATTTGATTCATTTTGGCATCAGATTATATTTGCTATTTTTTTCAGCATGGAGAATACAAAAGTGCTGTTTTTTCGTTTATATCGCTGTTGTTGCAACAGATAATCCCGAAATTGTAGGTATCCTTTCAGGTTATTTTCTATTTACAACACCAAGTTACAAGTTCATATTTGTTTATCTTTCATAACAAAAGTAGCAAATAATAATTGAATTCATTTTATTTAAAATTGGAGCGATTAATATCCACAGTACTGAAAATTTTGAAATTGACTCATGATTGTGAAGTAAAATTATTATCTAAATAACAATTAAATATTTTTATAAGAGATTTTTTGATATTTGAAGTTACAAAAGTCATTGGTAAATCCAATACTTAGTCTTTGATTTGGTTTTAATATCCACTTTGCCACTGTACGCCCATCTTGTACTTGCTTCCAAAATAAGAGAGTAAAACTACCTGGAAAACTGACTGGACTTTTAGGGTTTTCCAACCCTAAGCGGTAGGTGGGCCAATTCCTATTGGCCTATTGATTGGCAGCTTGTACCAGGTACAGTGGATTAAGCTTATGGGCCTATTATGATACCCTAAACCTCAAATCAATTTTGCAGGTAGTTTTACTCTCTTATTTTGGAAGCAAGTATAACACATTGCTGAAATACAGTCCAACATAATTGGCCAGTTTTTGTTGTATGTATGTTAAATATAAAACGAATCTGGATCCGGTTCGAAGGACCATTTATAGATTATGGTGGTTCTAAACTATTTGTGCTTTTACAAATTGGTTATGTTGAAGTACTGAACTTGCAGAAGGAGTTTCGTAAAACGAACATAAAATTATAGTAAACCAAAAGGTTATATGGCCATCTTAAAATTATCCCATTCTGTCGAAGTTAAGTTGTTTACAATAGCAAAGGTTTTAGAGTCGTAAATAACGTGTCCACTGCAGTTCTACCGACTGTTGTCGTTTCGTTCAGAGGCGGCTTTCACTAAATATCTAAATCTAAACAAGAAATGTTTAGAAGACGATTTATTGCCAACCGATAAGCTTAGTACGAACCACACAAAGAGGGTATTTATTTGCGATCAACTACTTTTATGATGGTCATATAACCTTATAGCTCTTGGGCTACTTTACATTTATGCTCAATTTTTGTAATTTTTTAAAGTTCGGAAATCTAAATATAGGAACAAAAAACGGGTTACTTACTCATCAAATTATAGAAGGTATGGAAAACACTGTTGCATTAGTCAGCATAGAAATTTGACCCAACGATCGCTTGAATATCTCGAAACTAGAAAAAAGTAAAAAAAGATTTATTAAGTTATTTAAGGTCAATTCCTGTTTCGACGAAAACAAGCTATTTCACACACGATTTTAGATAATGATTTTGCACATTAACAGTTTAAAGGCCATTTCTGATAGATTTTTGCAGATGCTAGATAACTGTGAATGGCATTTTGTCCCCGCAGGTAAATCACATGACCGGGACATTTTATGCAAATTTAAGCACGGTTCCGTTGTTAAATTCCACTTACGAATAAGTATTTCATTCTGTGTTTTAGTACGTACTGTAGGAATAGTAAATTGGAAAATATAAAACTGCAGTTAACTTTGTCAATCGACATGTATTCGATAATTCCGAACACTTAGCAATTTAATAATTACATATAGAGTGTTCAATTAGCGATTAACTCGTAAGCGTATAATGGTTCATTTGTTTTTGATTAACGGTTGAATGACAGGAAACTTAAGTTAAAATTGCAATTGCAAATCTTGTGCGTGGAAATGAAAAATTCTGTAAAAGCCGGTTTGCGTCTCCAAGATGGTGGTATTCCGGGTTATTAGTAAGAGGTTTAACTGTAGCTTCATTGAATATTAATATATTAAACTTGTGTAATCAATGGCTGTTATAAATGAGAAACGACAGCTGACACCGCAGTATTTTCAGTCTATTAAAGAAACGACAATCTAAAGTTAAAAAGCACTGTAAAAGAAAGTCTCCAGACATGCGAATCTCATTTGAACCTGTTACTATTAATTTTTACTCCATTAAGTTGTTCGACAACTTACACACGAATGTTATTATTTATAAATAAACCACCTGAACAAGGCTTTAACCTTTACATTCTAAACGACATTGATTCTCATGGTTGCGTTCGCATTTTCTTCAAAAACCACAATCGTAACCTAACTTCCGCAAAGGTCGCTTCACCACCCAATTCCATTCTTCCACACATATAATTTACAATCGTCGCTTTCGTGCCTCTCCATCCTCTTTATTTCCTTTTCACCTGTTGCACACGCCGACAAAGAAACCTGACCCAAATTTCCCATTTTAATCCATTGTCTTGTACTTTTACCGTTACCTTAGTCATTACGGTCGCTTCATCAACGAAATTCGAACAAATTTGATAGCATGCCTCAATAAACATCTGTCGTGCTCTGATGGAGGCGAAAATGTCGCTTTGAAACGAAATGGCGCGAAAATCAAGGTCATACGGTTGGCCGCACTGAAAGGGTGTTTACTGTATGTACGTCTTGTTTTCAGGTGGATCCCCTAAGATCATGATCTGTCAGGAGCACGTGACAGGTGTGATTGTCGAAAAAGCACAAGCGCAAGATGTTAGGTTCATCATTTATCCGATTGGGTTGGCTCTGGGAGCCGTCTTCTTGGCGGCTACTCTTGCGGCTGGTGCTATATTACCAGCCAGCCACCACGTGCTGCACTGGAGGTGCCAAACCAACCACGTCGCGTGTCTTCTTGGAGGTGATGTTCTTCTGTGCATCACACATCTGTCGGGAAGGATGGACCCCACAGTTTGTGTGCTAATTGGTAAGTTAAAATTTAAAATTCTCACCTTCAAAGCGTCTAGATTAATTTAAATCTCCACATCGAAATTTCAACCACTTTGCCCATTGAAGATGTTAAAAATAAATGATGGTTTTACAACGTGACGTCAACACCATCCATTGCCTTTTTTCCTTCTGGCATTCCTCGCCAAAACCGGCGCCTCCAGGCGATAACATTAAGCATTCAGATCCAAGTAGTTAATTCCGTTGATGAATAAGCGTGCAAAAGACCGTTATTGTGTTGAAACTGAACAGTACATGGTGAATCACGAGATAATGACGTCGGGAAAAAAAACAAACTTTCGATTTTCGACCTGGCCCAGAACAGATCTTTGTTCTGGTTTTGCAAAAAAGCCACTTTAGGATTTTTGTTTGAGCCATCTGGCAATCGTGAATCATCCATTCAAGTCCTGGCGTTGTTTTTCTTCTTTTGCGTGGCTGGGACGCCATTATGGAACGACGCGGTGAAAAAATGCTCGCTTCACTGGCGTGGTCATCTTCAGTAGACTGTGAAGCACGTAATTAAATAATGCTTAGATGTTGAAGGTGGGAAGAAAGGAATAAAACGAGAAAGGGTGAATGTTGAGTTGTGTCTACGTTCCTGCAGTTTATGAATTTTATTGAATTATTATTAGTTATATGGTTGATAGATTTAAGCGTTAAAACAAAGCAATGAAACTGTATTAAAAAAAGCTGTCATGGATTTTAAATAAATTTTTATTTTAATGTGAGAGCTATAGGTGATTTTAAGCTAAACTTTGCACTGTCAGAGAGTTCCAAAAAATAGATTTTTTTTACGATGTCTGTAAGTCTGTTTATAATTTCAGAATAAATTAGACTTTTTTTTCGTACAATTTTGAATGGTTAAATTGACAAAAACATGATCAAATAAAATATGTAAATGTTTGGAACTAGTCATAAACAAATCGAGGAGTAAAAGTATAAAAATACGGTTGAGAAAAACATAAACAGGTTAAAATATTTTCACACGGGATGCATTTTGGGAACAAATGTGAAAAGCGGATTTATAACGCTATTATTATAATATTTATCAACCACTTGGATTGTATTTTGTCTTTTTCTCATGATTGTTCGTTAGACCGAATCAATCCAGCGATTTGTGAAAATTCACTGTTTATATTTTTAGGTTTTATTATTCTTATAAGCATGTCTACTTTTTTGTAGTTTTACTTGTACCTATCAGTCCAAATTTTTAACGACTGTGCTCATTTTTTGATCACTTTTTAATACGTATACTAAAAAATTGTCGAAGTTTATTTCGCCTTGAAGTAAAAAAAAAACCGCTTTTTTATTTTGCGATTTTTGTTTTGTAGAAAGTAAAAACCAGGGGGCGTGTTCCGCACAAGTCTGGACAATATAAAATATATTTAAAGCAGATAACCAGGGGGAAACATGTAGCCATTCCCAATTTCTCAGTACATGCTTAACTTCGAAGGTTTATGATTATACTTTTAAAGAATCCGACTATTAGCACGTTCAGGTTACAAGCACCAACGGTTAAAAGAAAATGAAATTCGACTGATTTTGTCTCCTCAACGCAGAAGAGAGTACTGATTAATTAATTAACCACACTTTTTTTTTACCCAAAACACATAAATTTTAAGAAAAAAATTTGGCCAAAATCGTAGGTGACGGACGATTTACCCTAAAATGTTTGCAAAATCTGCATTCGGTTTTTGCAATGTCAAAGTTAAATTGTAAAATATTGTTATAAAATTTTGATTTTTTAAAAATCTGTATATATACAGTTTTTTGGTTTTAGGATTTCTCAGTTTTTCGATTTTTATTTTGCAATTTTTTAAATGTACAATGTTTTGATTTGCAAGTTTTTGAGTTTTCAATTTTAAGTTTTCCAAAATTTTGATTTATCGACATTTGATTTTTATTTTTCGATTTTACAGTTAGCTCGATTTGACAATTTTTAGATCGTTTATTCAGTTTATGGATTTTGCAGTTTCTCGATTTTAAATATTTCGATTTCCAAATTTTTTCTAGTTTTCAATCTTCTAATTTTTCAATTTTACAAGTTATGGCATTTTTATTTTTTGATTTTGTAATTGTTCGGTCTCCCCGATTTTTGATTTGCAATTTTTCGCTATTTTAATTTTGCACTTCTCAATTTTTCAATATTTTAATTTTTCCTTATTTCGATTAATCGAGATTTCAATTTTTAGTTTAGCTTATAAATTTTTCAAATTCTCACTTGTTCATTTCTGCAGATTCTAATTTTGAATTTAATTCAAAAAGAACGAATTTATTAAACCTGAAATTTTCACGATTTTAGAGTTTTTGGATTTTTCAGTTTTTATATTTAAATTTTACTTAACTAATTAACTATTAACTGCTTTCATCGCGTTTATCTATATTGTGTTAGCTGAGCATTTTTTTAATAGCACCCATTTTTGAGTTTTTAAAAATCCTTTAATTTTCCGTTTTTGCGGTTTCTCGATTTAACGATTTTGTTAGATTTTACAATTTTTCGAATTTGTTTTTAGTTTTTCAAAGCTTCCTTTTATCAACTCTTGAATTTTTCAATTTTTCGATTTTATAGTTACTCAGATATTTAATTTTTTTAATTTAAAGTTGTCTAGTTTCCAGTTTTTCAAATTTTTAGATTTTCGGTTTTGCAAATTTTCGTTTCTTCGATGTTTCAATTTTGTAAGTTTCCGGTTTTTCAATTTTCCGTTCCTTCGATTTTTCAATTTCAAAATCAAAAAATTTTCATGTCTTCAATTTTTCGATTTGCAGTTTTTCTAGTTTTCAATTTTTGGTCTTTTCAAATTTTAGCTTTTAAATAATCAAGTTCTCGTTTTTGCGTTTTTAAATTTTGGACAAAAAGAACGAGTTTATTCAAACTGAAATTCTGAAAAAATTGTAAAGCAGGATTGTTTTTTATGTTGCTCTTGTATTTTCGATGTGTTTCTTCAAAATATGAAAACATCCAAAATTAAAACTTAAAAAATAGGAAATTAACTAAAAAACGAAAAAATAAAATACCAAAAAATTAAATTGGAAACTCAAAAAATTGCAAATCAAAATATCGGAGAATGGAAAAATTAAAAATCGAAGAACGGAAAATTGGAAAACAGAAAAAACAAAAAAGTAAAAATCCGAGAGTTGAAATCAAAAATCTAATCTAATCGAAAAATGGATTAATTGAAAAATTCGAAGAGTTGCATTACGGACAGCCTACATGTTAAACGACATCAATTTTGCGTACACTACAGAGGCAAGATTCGAGTCCGTCTCTGTGTGGTGTGTTGAAGGATAGTGTTTAATTATGGGAACAGCGAATTTTGGTTAATGACATACCCTCTAAAAAAATAAAGGGTGGGTGGGTGGGGCTAGTACTTGCTAAGATAAGATTGATTGTGGCAAATGCCATACCTTCTTAAGAAAATAGAGGGCGGATGGGCCGTGCTAGAATTTATTAAGATAAAACTGAATACTTAAAAATAGTCACCGGTATAAATGAGGGGTGGATGTGCGGGTCTATTGCTTGCTTATAAAAGACTGTTGGAAAAAATGAAACTTATCTCCGCCCACCCACCCGTGTTTTCATCAGCCTACGTTCTATTAGTTCCCATTTCCACTCTATAAAAGAACATATAATTAACCCCGCCCACCCACCCCGCCTCTATTTCAGTGATTCACTTTATCTAGTCTGATTGAAAGGTGGATCTTATACTGAAATAAGTTCGTTAGAATGAGAACAAACAGGGTGGATGGGGTTAGTACTTGTCAAGATTCGATCGATTTTGATAAATGACATACCCTCTAAAAAATAAAGGGTGGGTGGGTGGCGGTAGTACTTGCTAATATAAGACTAATTTTGGGAAATACCACACTCTCTAAGAAAATAGAGGGCTAATGGGCGATGCTAGAATTTGCTACGATAAAACTGAACACTAAGAATAGGCACTGAAGAAGGGGTGGGTGGGAGGGGCTATTGCTTGCTTATAAAAGACTGTAGAAAAAGCTAAAACTTGTACTTTTAACGTAATATTGCAATAATGTTTCACATTTATTTTTAAACTATTAGAAAAAAAATTGTCCAGAAATATATCGGTCCAAAATAATTAAATAATAAAAATTATATTACAGCGCAAATTCATTGCTGAGGCATGGCTTCACCTGCCTCATAGAACAAGCCGCCCTTGATTATCTGTCTAATAAAAATCCGGACAGACAGCAGATAAACGGAAACAGGAGACCTATCTTTTCGTACTCGAAAGGTCATGAAACGTCTAGAAATCGTAAAAGCAAATAATCGTCCAACGGACTCGAGTGTAATACTTCCTTAGCTTACACTCAGGAAGTAAAAATTGAACAAAAAATATATATAGAGAACATCCTCCGCCTCTGAAACAACACCGTTGGACTCTCATAATTCCAAGAAAATGGGATGAGCTGCTTTGGACTTAATAAAATATATTGTAGAGAAGCTCATTTCAAATGAGATTTACGTCGCAAAATATCGAGAAGATGTCTTCAAATGTTTGGAAGGGGCGTTTTACCATTTGACCATTTTCTTAGCTTATGTTGGGATGAAAAAATAAATTCGGGCAGTAAAAATTAGCACAGGAAATTATATTTAGCCTCAGAATTAAAGTTACAAAAAAAAGAATTATTATTGCTACGTCTGTACATATCTGCAACGATTTTTTTGGAATTTTAATCTGATAGAAAAAATTTGTAATCGAATCGTCCGTGGACAGAATTAAATTTAATAACAATAGTCCTTCACTTCAAAAGTTGTTTTATTAATTTCTGAATTAGTGGTAAGTTTTAACTAACTTTAAAAATTTGCTGGACGAGAAGGTTAAAGAGGTTTTAATAATTAAATATTGTTTTAAATAACCACATGGTCGTAAAAGTGGGCTCTTGAATAGCACACAACTGTGCGGTTTGCGTTTGTCTGTAAACCTGAAATCTGTGTTAAATGCAACTTGATTAGTCATG